ATTTGGTTCCCGAAACCAGGTCGATCTCATGACGCACACCTCGGTCCGGAGGTAGGACCGATGGCGGGTCTTTGGAGACGACGTGTTGGAACTCCTTTATCAAAGGATAGTACGAATCTGAGGGATCCTTCAAGATCGAATATCCACTTCGTGCGTTCAGCACCCTCTAAGTGTCCTCCAGGACTGCTTCATTCAGAAACGACGACGAGTTAATCTCCTCGTTTAACTATATAATGACCACCTCGGCTAAATTGTCTGCCTTCAAGGCACCGCCGAACTCTTCGAGGGGCATTGCATCCAGCTCAAGAAGAGCATCCACCGCAAGAATAGCCTCACGGGTGACGTCGCCGTCTTCCTCTTCCATAATACCGTTGACAAGGGTATATAGCTGTGCGCTATCGTCTACGGTAGACGCACCCTGGGTCAGGTCGACGTCCTGCGCCTTGCAGATTTCATTCGGCATCGCCATCTCCTCTCTCTTAAGGTTTTACGTCTCATCGAGACTAGTGGGAACACGCAATCGGCATCGTCCAGTGTCCCCACTCCCTGCTCCATCGGAGCCTTGATGTTACTAGCAACATCCGACGAAGAGCTGCTGTTTCCGCAGTCTTCGTCCAGTGGATAACGTGCAACTACACGCGCATCGGAAGGGCCTTGCCCAGAATGCCTCGGACCGCGTCCGACCATGCCACTCGTGGCATGCAGCAACTGCTTCGAAACGTAAGCACTGCTCAGTGGATTACGTCTCACTGCACGCGCATCCAAAGGGCTTCGCCCTTGATGCGACTTGTAGTCAACTTCCTCCAACTCCCCGATAAGAATTTCTGTCGCCCACGGCGGGCGCGGTGTGTTGTACTCGGTTAACGAGGGCTTGGGATGTGATTCCCTTGAAGCCGCGGACATATTGTCCGGAGTTGCATCCTGTGCAGTAGAAGAAGATGGGCTTTGCCCATGGCCGCCCTCAGTAGCAGCTAGGCTGGGTGTTTTGCATGTCGTAGACACTGAGCTCATAGAGCGGAATATGTTTAAAGTTGTTCTTAAGAACGTGACGATGTCTCAGATACGCGAGCCTCGTATGTGGCGACCGTCACACTCTCCCCCATTAAAATTGTGAATTTGTGGAAATTAACAATTCTAATGGGGGGGAGACGGGGCTACACATACCCTTGCATGAAAGGGTGGGTCGCGCAAGATGGTGTGACCGTACATAGGTGTGGGTTACGCAAGTTGTTGTAATCACACAGTGATGTGGCTACACCGTAACAAGAAGCCTCTACGTGGCAGGATTGCCAGTTGTGATGCATATTATTTATTTTAACTATATTTATTAGTTACTACTATATTAATTCGGAAACCTAAGGTTTTAGATATTGGCAGCTCTGCCGCTAATAAAACATTCAAATGCAGATTCTATTCTGAACGAAAAAGTGTTTTTATCATGGCTAAGGTTTTAAGTACTCTTGGAGGCAGCGGATTGCGATCTGCTGCACTCATACTTGTTCTTATAAAAGTGTAAAGCCGGTGACCTTATCCTAGCATCTCTAAGGAAAGAGCTACGGCAGCCCTGCTGCAAGTTAGCTGCCCCCAGGATTTACTAGAAACAGTAGCTTGTTAAGCGTGTCTTCTTGTTATGAGTGCAAATGCGCGTGCAGTTACATTATATCGAGAGGATCGTCTCCGCCAAATTTGGACTTCGTATTGATGATGAGTCGTTTTTCTTTTGCATGAAAATATTTGACTCTAAGAGTCCGCATTGACTAGCGTACAAGCAGTTGTCGCAAGGCCTCACCAAGGTGTTGAAAAAAGCATCTCTTCAACAATCCAGGACGGATATATTTAACAATCCGTCTGGTTTGAACATGTTTCGTTTTTTCCTACATTGATAAAATGCATAGCATGTGGCTAACAACCCACGATTCAACTTCTTGAGGTTTGAGTCGGTTCATAAGCAGTCAATTTGCCTCGAGTAAATCGTGAATGACTGCCGTTGACTGATCAATCAATGTGTTAACTCCTGTCGTCAAGAAAAATCGAGGCAGCTAAAACCTCTCGAGGTCGCAAAAGATTTGGTCGTACGTCTTCAACACAACGCAGAAAGACCAGCGCGCGTCGAAGCATGTCAAAGATTTTTAGGCTGGGAATCGACCGCGCACATGCCTCATTTTGGTCCAGAAACTTTTAATGCCCAGGCTATTGCTCTGATTTGAGCATGCCAATCGGTCTATTCAGCACATGTGCGAAGTTATTGAATTATTTGACTCGTGCTTCGATGCGCTTAATGTGTGCACATCACACCTCCTACCTCTCACTGAAGCATCAGTCGCTTCACCCAAGAGCTTCGATTATTGTTCGCGTCAAGATTTGTGCAGACTCAGCTCAAATCCTTCGCACTTCGTTTCTTGGTGTATTGATGGCACTTGATGGGGCCTAGAACATGCAATATGCGTTTTTTTAAGGCACAGTGGAGCAAGTGACCCTCTCTACACGAGAACTTCATATGGCAAAACAATAGATTTGGCTTTGTCGAAACACATTGACAAGCTGATATTAAATAGCAAGGAGAACCACATTCACAACAAGGTCACGTTGTTTATATAAAGTAAAATAGACTATTTTGATCATCTCATAAAATGCTTTTGTAATTTTGTGTCGCCGTATGAACCAATGAAAATCTCTAACAACTTTTACTTAAAAGTGTAAATTTGACTGGTCTAGGTCTTCATATTTGATATTGTACTTTACATCGTGCCTACAATAACAGCTAGTAACCTCAGTTTTATCTGTCATAAAGCATAACTTTATCATTTTATACAAAATCGAATGGAAGGTAATGAGTGACGATCTATTCACTCCGCATTCGACTTCATCCTGACCAAGTCGCTCACTCCTCACACACTCGGTCTAATATGGTTATCGTACGTCTATCGTTTCATTTATGGATTGACGCTCTATCTATGTATTTATTTACATATTGCTTGTGTATAATCACTAGGCCAACAACGCTACTCTTGAAGAGCAGGACCCGGAGATCTTCAACCTTATCGAGGCCGAGAAGAATCGACAGTGGAAATGCTTGGAACTTATTGCCTCGGAAAATTTTACCTCGCGTGCTGTAATGGATTGTCTCGGTTCGTGCCTTACTAACAAGTACGCAGAAGGTTTGCCGAACGCGCGCTATTACGGTGGCAACGAAGTTATCGATAAAATTGAGATTTTGTGTCAGCAGCGTGCTCTTACGGCATACGATCTAGACGCAGAAAAGTGGGGTGTTAATGTGCAGCCGTACTCAGGGTCGCCTGCCAACTTTGCGGTTTACACGGCCTTGTTACGCCCACACGACCGTATCATGGGTCTGGACCTTCCAAGTGGAGGTCATCTCACTCACGGGTTTTACACGTATTCAAAAGCCGAGAACACGCGTAAGGCTGTGTCTGCCACGTCCGTGTATTTCGAGTCATTGCCGTACCGTGTAAACGCTGACACTGGTCTTATCGACTTTGAAAAGCTTGCTGAACTAGCCGCTCTTTTCAAACCTGCGATGATCATCTGTGGTGGCAGTGCCTACCCGCGTGATTGGGACTATGCTGCTTTCCGCAAGATTGCCGATGACAACGGAGCTTTACTCATGTGCGATATGGCTCACTACAGTGGTCTCGTTGTCACAAAAGAACATGCTAGTCCTTTTGATTACTGCGACATTGTGACTACGACAACGCACAAGTCACTGCGTGGACCTCGTGCTGGTATGATCTTTTTCCGTCGTGACGAGCGGAAGTTTGAGGCTCGTATTAACAACGCAGTCTTCCCTGCTCTTCAGGGTGGTCCACATGAGCACCAGATTGCTGGCATTGCTGCGCAGCTTAAGGAAGTGCAGACACCGGATTTTAAAAAATATGTGCAGCAGCTTAAGGCCAATGCCAAAATTTTGGCCAAGACGCTTACTGATTTCGGGTATTCGATGTGTACGGGCGGCACTGATAATCACTTGATCCTGTGGGATTTGCGTCCTCAGGGTGTTACAGGCTCCAAGCTTGAGAAGCTGTGCGACATGGTTTGCATTACGCTGAACAAAAACGCAGTGCTAGGCGACCGCAGCGCTCTGACTCCTGGTGGTGTGCGTGTTGGCACGCCTGCTTTGACAAGTCGTGGGTTCAAGGAGGCAGAATTTGTCAAGATTGCCGAGTTTCTTGATCGTGCTGTGAAGCTGTGCATAGAAATCCAGTCGTCAAGTGGTAAAAAACTTGTGGATTTTGTCAAGAGCGCTGAAGCTCACGAGGGTGTTAAGCAATTGCGTCGCGACGTCAATGCTCTTGCCACATCGTTTGAAATGCCTGGCTTTAAGGTCTCCGAGATGCGCAACAAAACTATTGAGGAATAAGTTAACCTTAACATCTTGCTCTTCCTATGGTCAAGCGATACCGTTTTATAAAGTTACTCTGCAACTGGGAGCTGCATTTTGACGCACCTTGCCAGTCCAGAACTGAATTTGTTTTCTTGTACTTTGTTTTGTGTATATCGAACATACATATCTTTAAGTCTCATATTCAAGGCTTCCTGTATTAGTGAAGCTATTAATGCGTTTTGCGCGTGAAATTCTTCCAATTAGTCGTGTTCGCATTAATTCTATCACATCGCAAATAATAAAAAATGAACAAATGTTCAACATTTTTATCAACCATATATGTATCGAAATTATTGATTAGATCATATTAGACTGAATATGATTTTGTGTGTTACTAACATGCTACAAAAAACAAAGTCCACCTCTTTCAACGCCCTATACATATTTTCTCTCATTCTTCGCTATTCTTATCTTCATCAGAGGCGGTCACTGTTTGAAGTTCCAGAAATTCTTCGCGAAGAACAACCGCAGCATCACTCCTGGATGCATCAGCAATACACTGCACACAAAAAATCAGTTTGGTGTCATTAATTTTGCTCCGATTGTGTGATGACACGACACACACTTGCTTTTTGACACAGCATCGCTTGCAAACGCTATCGGCACAGCAAGCACAAATTCGCGGCATTGTTCGTAAAAAGCCACCAAAAGTTCGGAGACAAACAGAACAACGTGTTCCTGATGTAATACGAGGACGAGTGCGCTGTAGGATCATGTCATGACTGGAAGATGTTGGACTGATACTTGGATTGCTACTAGCAAAGGATGCACGGCCCGTACGCATTCGCATCCACCACGTAAGTTTTTTCATCTGAGCGCATTGGACACACCGAGTCATAGACAACCATTGCGTCGAAATTGTATGCAATGAAATGTTGTTTAACATGTTATTGGTCGAGTGAAAGTCAAAGTAGCCACGTCTGTAGCATTCGACAAGTGACGTGGTTTTCTGACGAAAGAAAGAACAAACAGACATATTGGCTCGTTTTACGCCAAAATTTCGAAATACTGGCAATTGAGCAAAGTCGAGCGAATGAATGAGATGAAATCCTAGAAGCTCACCGTTGTCGTTGTGCACTAAACCTGTAGCTTCAATACAAGTGTAGTCTCTTGGCTCTGACAAAGAATAGTGGCGCCATGTCACGCTAAGTGTATGAAATGGATCATTCGACGACGGACTCTCCATAAAAGTGAGCACTTTGCAGTTCTCGACGCCATCTTGCAAGAATTTGGACCGAGCTCGCATGGAATCGGTACTAACGGCAATGCATTCGTACATGACGTCATTTAGACTGCCAGCTACTGTTCCTACCATTAGCAAAGAGGACGGACCCAATTTTTCTGGCTGGACAAACCCTGCTCGCATACACGCTGCACTATTTCCACTTGGTAATGATCGTGGTGATTGAAATTCTTTAAACACTCGAATTCCTTCCTTGCGTTGTACTTCTCGCCAAATCCGCGCATCCGGAAATCCATCTTTTGTCAATCGGAGCTCCTTACGTTGTTTGAGATTAATCTCGAGCATACTTATCGACAATTTAAGAATTGCTTTCATGTCCAGATTTGATAAGTGAAGTTGTGGTAGTGCCTCCACCATTAAGTCGTTCTTGGACATAGTAGGAGGTAGATCCGACCCTCTAGTTTCACTTTAAGCATACAGAAGCAAGCGTCAAAGTTTGTAACATCTTTTCATTTCATTAAGAAAGTTTTTAAATGCTTTCTCACCTCGTTTGCTGGTCAAAATTCTGACGATTAAGTTGTTGAAAGCAAAATAACAAATGTGACAAAAGACTTAATTTTTACTTGTGGAGCTCGTGTGTGAGGGCAGAGGCGTAACACTTACAAGCGCACTCACCACAGTGACCAATTCGTTTTTTCTTATAAGATTTGCGTAATGATAGTCTGGCTTCATGCGACTTAGGTCTGTGCGTTGGTGCTTTCTTTCTTCATCTTGAAATAATGTAGACGTATGAATCTCTATTTTGTCTTTTCGTCAACTCTATCTGAAGTTAAGAATGTAACTCTCGATATTACAAGTGCAGAATTGTTTGTGTATTTCAATTAAAAATTACTATTTCTGGTTTTGGTTGAAGTAATGATATTCGATTGTACAATGAAACACCTTCGAAACCAACCTTAAGTCATTAAGCTGTACAGTAAGCAAGTACGTTGGTATCTGTTGTCCGATCGGCACATTCGTGACATTAAAGATACCACGGTACACTTTTTTATTTGTTCTCTCTGGTTAACACCTTAGAAATTCTTTTTGTTCAGCTGTCAATCTGTCAATCCACCAGGCGAGGGAATGCACGTAATTAGATCTCGTTATTGAAGGTCGTGCGATGGAGTTGTAATCCAGCTTATCTTTCTTTGTATTATTTACCAGTATTATCCTTCAATCTACAGCTCTCGTGCTCTTTGTAGAGGATTGACAGCTCTGTCGTTCTGGTTCTATCCTTACGTTTGCTCAAACCCGAAATGTCTTTTCTTTCGTCTAATACCGTTAAACACTAATCTATGAGGAGTATATACCAAATAGCAACCGAATGAAGAAGCGAAATTACGTCGAGAATCGAGACGCGATTTTATTTTCGACTGCTGTGAGCTTAGAAAACTCCATGGACTGGAGAACAAAACAAAGTTAGTGTTTGTAGCCCTTGCAATATTCAACAAATAAATAGTTTGTAAATAGTAATTAGCAGTGTAGTATATTTCAAGTGAAACTCATACTAGTACAAAAAACCCAACTTGACATAATACTAAACTTGCATCAATTGCTGTCGTTAATAATCGTGCGTCGCCGCTTTTAGCCACTAGGGTCTGAACGCAGACTTCTCAAATGCTCACCAAAATCTCGTATATCATCAACGCAGCAAGTGAGTCTAATTAATATCGACAAAGTTTAATGGAGATGATGAAAAATTGGAAACACAGGAGAAGACGTCGGTTAAATTGTATACTAGAGGAGTCCAAATAGACATAAAGACAAGGTGGAAAAAACCCAAAATGAATGAGTTCTACTGTGGATTAAAAGGTCAAGCTTATGATAAACAGCTAAAGGTTCGAAAGCGACATGCTATTTTGTCGAGCCATGAACCAGCGGCTTTACATTATGAAGTTGAGGAAGGCAAAGTGATGTCAAGTGGAACATTCATGATTAACATGCAATGAACGCCTTGATGTATAGAGAAAAGAATTGAATTGAAGACGTTACAATGGGAGAGGAAATAGAGAGCAGTTTGACAGTGACAATACTTGTCATTTGTCGGCTCGACACTGGAATAAACGACATATGTAGTAAGTTGTATCAATTTGAAAGAATGAAGTTTGGTCTAAGCACAAGTGACTAGCATGTTTGCAGTGTCGCCAACATCCAAAAGTCATGATGGAACATTAACAAAGCTTATGATTTCTTTCGTACATCCACACGAACAAAGTTTAGAGTCTTCATCATGGATCGTAGACAACTACGAGTAATTCTTAAGGTTTGTATATATCTAACTCACAACATTTAAAATGGACGATGGAAAGAATGGCATCGGAATGTTAGAAGCTATGAAGTGTGCGGAATGTGCTGGTGCATGTGCACCGAATTGACGTTTCCGTCGCTACCGAAGCGTAACTCGTGACCACTAGCAAGGGGTCGAATCCCTGATAAAGTCTTGAGTTCCGTAATGATACGAGCACAGAGATTCATATACGTAAAAGCATTACCATCCAGCCGTTGAAAGTCGAGAAGGTAAATATGCTGCTGGACCTTGTATAATTGCAGTCCAATCTTGATTTGCTGCATCTGTTGCTGAAGCTTCGTCTCGTTTGAACTCATCGCGGTACCACTCTGTTGAGTAGAAGCGTCACCTGGCGATTGCCACCGACACTTAACACGGTACGGCGCTACTACTTTCCATTCAAAGTGGAGCACGAAAAGCGCCTTGTACACTTCAGACATGACATGAGCTGGTTCTTTCTTTGACTGTATACCCAAATACCATCGTCGTCGTTTGGGTGTGGGCGCTGCATTGCTGTGGCTGTCATCAAAACCAGGAATACTATTACCACTACCTGTAGACAGTCGCGAGCCCTGTCCTGGAATATTGATCCCACGTCCACCAAAATTGCGAGCATCTTGAAGTGCTGACGATGGTGTGATTAATGGAGATGCCGCCATTGGTAGTGGTCCTCTACCAGGAAGTAACAAAGTGCTTGGTTCGGGAGTCGAGAACGTCTTGGGCTTGTTATTCACTGTGCGTACATCGCGCAACTCTACAAAGACAATTTCAAAGCTTCAGATTGTAATATGACGATACAAAAGTAACATATCAAAAAACTTTTGACGTTGATAGGCGTACCATCAATGCGAATTTTTGCATTCTTGTGATCCAAAATCAATTCATACGCAACTCGAAGCGGATGGTTTTCTCGTCTTGTGAGCAATGCTACAAGTTGATCGTGCCCGACATTTGCAGCATAATTCAAGGCTAAACATTGCGATAGACATTCTTCATCAATTTTGAACGTCTACAAGATGCAACACCATGCAATAAGTGGTTTTAAAAATTTGTCATCATTCAAAGCATCGTATACCTGATGTTCAACAATCTCTGGTGGATGTTGTAAATATGGAGGCAAATCAATTTGAAACCATGGATGTTGTCGGATCTCTGGGATTGTAATGCGTTTCATAGGGTCCACCACCAACATTCGCGGGATAAGGTCGCGTGCCATCTCGGATAAATGACTGGGTAACGAGTACATACCACCACGAATCTTTTTAAACAAATTCGGTATACTTTCGTCATCAAATGGTAAACTACCACATAGCAGAGCGTATAAAATAACACCACACGACCACACATCAACTTCTGGACCAGCGTATAAACTTCCAGATATCACTTCAGGTGCTGCATAATTAGGCGAGCCACATGATGTTCGCAAAAAATCACCATCTTCCATACTATTAGAGAGTCCAAAATCCGCGATTTTGATATTATTGTCGGCATCTAATAGTAAATTCTCAGGTTTTAGATCACGATGCACAATACGATGGAAATGACAATATTCAACTCCTGATATGATTTGATGAAAAAAGTGACGAGCTTCTTCTGGTGACAACTAAAGAAACAAATTAATAAATAAATATGAACGAACTGAAGTGATATACTTACGCGGCCTTTAGAAACGATGTAATCAAAAAGTTCTCCACCTGCAATATACTCGAGTACCATAAAAATATCTGTTGGTGTATCAATCACTTCATATCTATCACATTACCATAATCATATTATTGTATTACTCCTATTCATCATCTTGAAATCATATACGTACAATCGAATAATATGAGGATGACGCATTTTACGTAGTAGTGTAATCTCACGTCGAACTTTTTCACTCATATCAAGACTGCGAATTTTATGACGATTAAGGATTTTGATTGCTACTTTATGACCTGTGATTTCATGTTGAGCCACTAGAAGGAATGACGTGAGAAGGTAAATAGTAAAATGCGATCTAAAAATGAAGTGATAGAGCTCACGCTTGACTTTGCCAAATGAACCGATACCAAGCGTCTTGCCGAGACGATAGTGGCCTAACTGGATGGGGATGTCGCTCATGGTCTCGACGAACAGACTGCTCGCTTTTATCTAGTTGTGCGTGGCCCACACGAACAATAACTTTCACCTCATTTTTATGACATTATTGCTGATTTTCTAGTTGGTAGAAAAAAAACATTACGTTTGGATGATTGGGACATTTATTAAACGGAAATTTCCTTAAAACTACACATTGTCATGCAATTCATGATGATGGTGCTCATACAAAGTTTGGGTAATCGAAAGCGTGTTGATGATTCTCTTGTAAATTGCTAAGCAATGTTTGTTTGACTATCTATGTAGTACATATGTCAACTAGATATAGAAAAATGTAGTTGAGAAGATGGGAAGTAAAAAAAAGCGAAATATTTTATACTTCCGGAGATAAAAGGATTTTTTTTATGTTTTTGTTAATGACGGAACTGGTTATATCAAGACAGTGTACCCTATGGTTTACGTTCTAAGAAAATCAAAGTTGAGCGTAGCAATTTCTTAGTAATGATTTTTTATCCAAAAATCTCATTAGAAAAGTTCTAACATAGTGCAAAAGTGATAAAATCTTGTTTTCTGTTTTTCTTAGCGACATTTTTTGGATATTTAATCGAAATAATAGAGTGAAAAGTTACGTTCAGAGAGTTAGTATGCAGATCTTTATTGTTATCACATATGACCCAACCCAAATCAAGGACCATTCCT